GGAGTGATCACTTTCCAATATTGTGTTCCATGAACTTTGATATGTATGTTCAGGAAGGTTATGTAATAGAGAGATGGTGTTTTCATAACAATTCCGAGAACTTTCAACTGAGTATACTGAAAGAATATCAGTGGAGGGTGATGTAAATAGCTGCGCAGTAGCAGTGGCTTCCATGATTATTAGTGCTGCAACAACCTGCATCCCTAAGAGCACAGTGAATGAGAAAATAGTTCCATGGTGAAACGATGAATGTAAAAATGCTATAAAAGACAATCATGCGTTCAGAATTTTAAGAAAGCATTTGAGCCAAGATAACTTGGTTGACTATCAAAGAAAGAGGGCTATGGCACGGAAAATATTTAAGTCATCCAAGAAGAATGCCTGGAGGCAATTCTGCTCCTCCGTTGGTAGAGAAGTTAAATTGGGTGACATTTGGGCAACGATCAAAAAGATGAGGAAAGAAAATCATTTAAAATCCCAGTGCTGATAGATGGAGAACACCTGGCAATTACAAATAAGGAGAAAGCTGAGCTACTAGGTAAGAAGTTTGCAAGTGTACATAGTGGGAGTCATTTAGATGAAATACATAAACAACGGAAAAAGGATATTTTAAGAACAAATAGTGGTGTAACTAAGAAAAAAGATAGTGATGTATCGGCACTTCACATGGACTTTTCATTACATTAGTTAAAAATGGTCCTAGAGGAAAGTGGATATACAGCACCAGGACAAGATCAACTATGCTATGCTATGTTTAGACAATTACCAAAAGAAGTCTTGGAAATTATACTAAAACTGTTCAATAAGATATGGAGAGAAGGTGTAATGCCTGATAGTTGGAAAAGTGCTCTGATAGTACCGTTTGGTAAACCTGGTAAAGACACAACTAATGCAGGAAACTACAGACCTATAGCCTTAACATCACACTTGTGTAAATGGATGGAAAAGATAATTGTCTGTAGATTGTCATATTATTTAGAGCAAAGAGGACCGCTAAACAAATACCAAAGTGGATTTCGTAAAGGAAGATCTACGGTAGACGCTTTAGTTAAAGTTAGCAATGAGGCAGAAAAGACGGTTAGTATGAAAGAGGTCATGGCTGTAGTATATTATGATATTGAGAAAGCTTATGATTCAATGTGGAGAGAAGGACTACTGATAAAAATGCATGAAATGGGTATTGGCGGAAGACTATCCAACTGGGTTTTAGACTTCCTGTCTAACTAAATGTTCCGGGTTAAAGTTGGAGATGCTCTGTCGGAGGATTTTGAAATTGAAAATGGTATTCCTCAAGGGAGCGCTATAAGCCCTATTTTGTTTAACATCGTGATAAATGAATTTTTTTAAATGTTGATAGAGATATTGGGTCATCACTTTATGCAGATGATGGGGCTATATGGAAAAGAGGGAAAAACATTGGTTGAAACAAAATGTAAAAAGGTTCTGAATCTCATGAGGTCAGTTTCTGGTTACCAATGGGGAGCAGATAAACAATCACTACTAGATATTTATAGGGCCTTAATACAATCGTGTATTGATTATGGATGTATGGTATATGGAGCAGCAGCCAAGAGTATTTTAGAAAAATTAGACAGAATACAGTTCAGAGCTCTAAGACTCAGCATAGGTGCAGTGAAAATAACCCCTACTGATGCACTGCTGGTAGAAGCTGATGAACTGCCATTATATTCTAATGATGTTCTAAGTTGTCTAAGTTCTAAGTTTAGCATATTGGGTCAAGTTAAAAGGATCTGGAGAGGAACAACCTGCAACAAAGGTTCTGTGTGACTGAATATACACAACAACTAAAAGGTAAAGGATTTGGCTGGAATATTAATGCAGTAGCAGAAGAATATGGATTAAATAACATAGAATATGGACCAAATACTGTATGGGGTAATGCTCCTCTGTGGATATTTCCTGTGCCCAATGTGGACTTGAAGCTTCTAGAGAAGAAGAAAGAATGGAGTGAAAGTAATGTGGATAATATTGGATATTTGGTTCAAGATTATGTGAAGAATAATTATTATAATTATATGCTATTATTTACTGACGGATCAAAAGATCCAGGGACTGAACATGTAGGATCAGGAGCACAAACCTGAGTTTGATGTAGTTATATGTAAAATAATTAATGATAAACTGTCTGTTTACACAGCAGAAATGGTTGCTATTATTTTAGGGTTACAGTGGATAGAAGAGGTGAGGCCTGAGAGAGCTGTCATTTTTCAGACTCCACTGCAGCCCTGTATAGTTTGAATTCCAAAAAGACTGTAAGAGATGATCTATTGATTGAAATATGTACAATAATGCTGAGAATACAAAGAGCTGGAGTTGATGTGCAATTTGTCTGTGTCCCTGCTCATGTTGGTGTTGATGGGAATGAGAAAGCAGACGAGATTGCAAAGACAGCGTTGAAATTAAAAGATGATGAAATAATGAAAGTTCTCTTTGGAAAAGGAGAGGCCAAATCATTCATTAGAAAAGCAGTGAGTGACGTATGGCAGAAGAAGTGGGACACAGACACTAAATGGAGACACTATTACAGCATACAGAAATCAATTAAGGTGAAGGGTTTCAAAGGGAAATGCAGAAGAGATGAAGTGGTTTTTTCAAGATTAAGGTTTGGACATATGGGGTTAAAATCAACGCTTTATTTAATGACAAAATGTGTGTCTGATAAATGTGAGGTTTGTAACGTTCCCGAAAATGTCCAGCATGTCATCATGAAGTGTAGTAAATATGAATCTGAGAGGAACATCTTACGTGACAAGATATATGAATTAGGACGGGGATGGAATTTAGAAGGGATTTTAGGGATGAGTGAGGAAACAAGGGAGTGCTGCAAAGCTCTCTTTAATTTGTTCAAATTTACAGGATTAGACCATAACATATAGTCTGTTTTGTTTGTTTTGTTGAGTTTTGTTTTTGGCTTCACTGAACCTGTGACCTGAAGTCCTAACACCTTGATATTACACACTCTGGTACAGTAGGTGGCGGGACGCGCCTGAACAAGTTGGTTGCGACCCGCTATAAAACCCAGAGAAGAAGAAGAAGAAGAAGATAGAAGAAGAACTAAGATGTGAATAGAATAACAAGCAGTGGAGGGCAGCAACACGCCATAGATGAATTCACAAGAAGATCAACTGGCCCCCTTCCTGTTTTCAGCGTTTTCCGTGAGAAACAGCAAAGTTCAAAGTGTGACTCAATGGTCGTTTCCTCACACTAGTGATGGCGAGACGAAGCTTCATGAAGCATTGAAGCTTTCCATTGAATTGGTTCACTCATGGGCCGAAGCTTCATGAAGCATTGAAGCTTTCCGTTGAATTGGTTCACTCATGGGCCGAAGCTTCATGAAGCATTGAAGCTTTCCATTGAATTGGTTCACTCATGGGCCGAAGCTTCATGAAACGTTGAAGCTTTCCATTGAATTGGTTCACTCATGGGCCGAAGCTTCATGAAACGTTGAAGCTTTCCATTGAATTGGTTCACTCATGGGCCGAAGCTTCATGAAGCATTGAAGCTTTCCATTGAATTGGTTCACTCATGGGCCGAAGCTTCATGAAGCATTGAAGCTTTCCATTGAATTGGTTCACTCATGGGCCGAAGCTTCATGAAGCATTGAAGCTTTCCATTGAATTGGTTCACTCATGGGCCGAAGCTTCATGAAGCATTGAAGCTTTCCATTGAATTGGTTCACTCATGGGCCGAAGCTTCATGAAGCATTGAAGCTTTCCATTGAATTGGTTCACTCATGGGCCGAAGCTTCATGAAGCATTGAAGCTTTCCATTGAATTGGTTCACTCATGGGCCGAAGCTTCATGAAGCATTGAGGCTTTCCATTGAATTGGTTCACTCATGGGCCGAAGCTTCATGAAGCATTGAGGCTTTCCATTGAATTGGTTCACTCATGGGCCGAAGCTTCATGAAGCATTGAAGCTTTCCATTGAATTGGTTCACTCATGGGCCGAAGCTTCATGAAGCATTGAAGCTTTCCATTGAATTGGTTCACTCATGGGCCGAAGCTTCACGGTGCTTCATTTGCTCTAGTGTGCCATCAAGTGGACAATACATGTAAAACAGTTAAAGTGATTATAATGGCATCATGGCTTTGGTTTGTAAAGCATTGAATTGAATAAATTAATGAATGATGTTTGTGATGCCGATACATAAATGATTAACTTACTAATAAGGTGTCTGTCTGTATGATACAATGACAGGGTCAAAAGGGAAAGTGGAAACAAGGGAGAGGGTTATGATGTGAATGTGCTTGTGTTACTTGGTTTATGACTTTAGATAATACAGACATTTCATTCATTTTTATTTAAAATAACTTTTCCACAGTGCTTAGCTTCCGGCGGTCTCTTTTTTTTGGAGCTCTAGAAAATTATTATTAGGGTAATATGGGGTAAAAGCCCCCAGTTTAATTCTTACAAAAAACACTTTCTTACTGCCGCTAGTCTTACTCAACTAAAAATTTCCTGTTTCATCACAATCTTTGAAGTTATTTGACCAAAGCAATTCTGACATAAGTAATCAAATGTTTGTCATTTAAAATAAGCTGTAGCTACAATCTAATTGTGTTCAATTAAAATCAAAAATCAAATCAAAAGTCCACAAAATGTTGAGGAGGGTTCATTCCTTTTTGCTGCTCTTTTCGAAACGCACGCCAAACCCAAATCCTGAATCAGTCACGTGGTACAACCGGCTCGCGGGGCTGCGAACGTCACCACACACGTCACCAACACAAGCCTCGAGACACGCTTCAAAGCCTCGATACGGAAGGACACTACCGACAAACGTGGCCACTCGTTAAACCGAAACCGAAAGGGAGCTCAGAGTTAATGTCTTTGATGAAATGAACTTTTTATTTTAATCTCGGGGATTAAAAAGTGGATTTAAGTTGGCTCGCGCTTCTCAAGCTGTCTGCTGCAGAGAGCCACAGAAACAGGAGACTGCTTGCAGAAACTAAAGAGAGGAAGCTGAACTTCCTGGTAAGTTTACTAAACATGTCTGTTTTTGTTGTACTTACCAATGAAACAATCTAGAATAACGCAGCCCTGATCGATCTGAACTCCATTTAGAAAAGAAGCATTTTAAAAGTAGTTTTCTTGTCATCTTGCTGACAGACCTGACAAAGCATGAATTCATATGTTAAACAAATCAGCATCATTATGTAGTTATTTCGGCATCATTTTGATCCGTTTATTACAATTAAACCACAGTAAAGTGTTTATTTTGGGTCCATACCGCTGTAGGAAAGCAGGTTAAAGCCCAATATTTGCAGGTTGTCTTTACTTGCTTTAAAAGAGCTGCATTCAATACTACCAATTTCATAAGCCACCTAAAAAATAAACACTCACAGTGGTGCTGGAAAAATACAAGTATCTGATTGAGATACTCAATATGAAATGACTCAGATCAGTACCGGGGACAAAAAAACAGGATCAGGACCTGCCTACAAAAAAGGCTTCAAGTCCAAATTCTTTCATCACTTCTCTCTGAAGTCCCTGCATCTGCTCTTCTTCTCTGAAAATGTTGCATTTTTCATGACCTGCTTGGATACCGATTATTTCTGCTTGTAGCTTTATTGTTATATAATAATAAGCTACAATTTTACGTACTAACAAATCCCATCATCTGTTGCAGCTCAGCTCTCTAACGTCTCTGTGGTCCTGAGTCCAAACGCAGAGTAACGGTACAAAAAACTATTTCAGACATGTTGCTGTCACAACACAACTTCACAAAGTACTTGGAGTATTGATGTGCAAGTGTAATACGGTCAGAAACTGGACTACTTCATTTCAGTTCATTGTTCTGAGCCCGGCTTCCTCTTCATTGTTCTCCAACTTTCTCTACAATAACACATCTGAGCCCATCGCTCCTCGCCACAGCTGAAACACAAACCTTAAACCTTTGCAGGCAAATCAAGCTAGTGTTTAACATTATTCACCCGTTTAAAACCAGCTGAGAAGAAAAGAAAAACCTGATAAAACTACCACAGTTAGCACCAGCAGCGACTAATATTTACCTTTGGAGGATCATGAAACTTTCACTAGAATTAATGTCACCAACCTGTGCTGCATGTGACCTGACTCAGAGGTGTGTTCACAACGCTGCTGCAACATAATGTTAAAATAATTTTCCAGACCATTTTAGTTTCTCTTATTTTCCATGAGTTTTCCATGACTGGATAATTGGTCAGCTGTTTTCCAGGACGCGTGGGAACCCTGAATGAGCAGTAATCTCAGGTTTCTGTTTAACTGACACTTTATTGTGTTAAATATGTACAAACACTGCTGATCTAAAAAGAACCAACATATAAATCTGGAGTTTACATTGTATTACAAAATGCAGATAAAAACAAGTTTATTTACAAAAAATAACTTCTACAGAGCTCCGATTGTCATTTAAAAAATAAAGTTTAATTTCATCACAGCTGTTAACCAGCTGCACGAGTTAAAGTCCAGCTGTTTTAAAAAGGTCTCAGGGGGATGAAGCTACTCCCAGCATGCACTGGGTGAGAAGTTGACCTGAAGTGAATTCAGAAGAATCCAACCAGAGGAATCTGTAAATGTCTGATAATCAGGATCAGGATTTAAACCATGATGTTTGGGTGTACTGTAACAAATCTTGACAGTCTAATACATCTGATATATTTTGTGGTCAACATACTGAACCTCTGGGTGAATCTGGGGCTGTGTAACACATTTTGGGGTCATCAGATCCTGTTTAGGGCTCCAACAAGGTTTCTGTCGGCCCTGAATATTTGTGTCATGTTACTGAGAGGAAGGAGAACTAAAGTGTCCTGAGATGTAAAGCTTGTTGTAATGAATGAGTGCAGCTCTCTCAGCATGTTGTTGTGTTTGTGTGAAGGTGTGGGCTCTGCTATGAATCAGTGTGAGGACAGAGAGGAGGGAGTCCCTCCCTCTAAAAGCACTCTGTGTGGGGAACATGACAGCCAGACCAAAGCTCAGAGGTGAGATGAGGATCTCTAACTGTCCAGGACTCAAATCACTCCACCATCATTATTCACTCTCAAAGCTCTGTGTGTGTTGTGTTGAAGCCCAGAGCAGCAGCAGGGACCAGACTCTGCTGGACCTGGACCTGGACCTGGACCCAGCTGTGTGTCCATCAAGAGTGACTGGTCTATGGACAAACCTCTTGTCTTCAAAGGTGGACACCACTCTGCTGGACCTGGACCTGGACCTGGACCCAGCTGTGTGTCCATCAAGAGTGACTGGTCTATGGGCAGACTCATTGACTTCAAAGGTGGACACCACTCTGCTGATCAAAGGTCAGCATGTTAAATGTTTGTGTCTCTCCTGAGATGAGGTTTGGTGTCTTTGTTTTGATCACTTCATGTTCTTAACTCTTCACCTTTTTTCAAACTGGTCTCACATTTTGCAGATCTTAGTCCAAATATCAAAACCGCAGTTCAAATCTACAAACAGCTGGATGCAGGTTTGAGAATGTATAAGAACATTGTCTATGGAGCCTCCTCTTGCTCAATGGAGGTGAATGAAGTTTTTAGTTTTGAGCTATTAACAGTAAAGATGCAGCTGGACAGATAAACAACAACTGAAAGTCGCTATAAAACTCTGTATCGCTGAGAAACTGCAGATTCAGCTGAAAACTCACTACCAGAGACACCAACACATAAATATATCTATTAAATCTGCTTTGAGGACACATCTGATTTGTTATTTCATTGTTCAGGATCCATCGGCAGAGACCAGATTCTCCTGGACCCAGCTGTGTGTCCGTGAACAGCGACCGTCATGTCCCTGTTCACTTCAAAGCTGGACATAATGATGCTGAACAAAAGTAAGAATTTAAATGTTTGTGTTGTTTTGTTGACTCTCCTAAAAAGAGCTCTCAGGTAGGTCTTGGTTCAGCACTGTTTTTGTTAATTAAAAATAATAATAGACTCTTTATTTATTCCCAGAGGGAAATTCTCATGTCACATCAGCAGCACAGAAATGAACCAGGTTCAAAGAACAGTGCAAAACAAATGTCAAACACATGAGAAAGTAAAAATATTAAAAGTATGAGCATGCCCTTTTGTCTGCTGCTTACTGTAACTGTAAGTCCAGTTAGAGTCCAGTAGGACCTCAGCAGCCTCCTCGTCCGCTGATGTCCACTGAGACACAGCTGGATGAGTAAAACAGCAGCATTTTCTCCTGTCCAGTCTACCCTGCACCCAGCGGTGTTTCCATGGAAAGTGACCAGATCATACATTTTTATACCAAGATCTGGTATAGGTGTATGAGGATCTGTTTCTACCAGATATAACACAGCACATGTAACACTGTTTGTCATTATATGTTCAAATCATCATATTTCTTCACAGAGTTGATCAGCAGAGCTCAGAGGTTCCCAGTGGTCAGTCTGCCCAGCAGCATCAAACAGACCTGGACTCCATATTTATGGTGTGTAAATGTACAAGCTCAGCTACTACTGCTAATTACAACAGCCACAAAGTAAATAGTGAAGCAGCATTCTGATCCAGTCTCCATGCTGCACTCTGCAGACCAGCAGGCTTTCTGTCTGTCACAGATGATCTGATGTTGACTTCTACCAGTTCAACTTTACATTTTCTTCTGTTCCAGCTTCTCCAGGAAAACATTGGCAGGTTTGTGAAGAACGAGGTGAAGAAATTCCAGAGGGTTCTGAGTCCAGATTACCCAGAATGCTTAGAGAGTCAGAGGGAGGATGAGGAGGTGTTGGACGGTGAGGAGGAGGAGCAGAGGAGGAGCAGCAGAGAGGCATTTCTGAAGATCACACTGCACTTCCTGAGGAGAATGAAGCAGGAGGAGCTGGCTGAGCGTCTGCAGAGCAGTAAGAGGATTTGAACAGATTTAACATGATGGAAAGAGGAAATGGAGGCAACATGGGAGAAGTTTCCATTTCAAACTCTGCTGTTAATATGATGCACACATTTGGATCAGATCTATGAATTCTTCTGGGCTGAAACTCAGAAACTGTTCACAGCTGATGAGCTGAAGAGATTTCATGGAGGAGGAAAATAAATACCATCTTGATGTCTTAAAGTTTACATTTATCAGATTTACTGTAGCATCCACTTATTAATCACATTTCTTCTTTCTTCATTCAGGAACTGCTGCTCCAGTGTGCCGACGTAAACTCAAGTCTAACCTGAAGAAGAAGTTCCAGTGTGTGTTTGAGGGGATTGCTAAAGCAGGAAACCCAACCCTTCTGAACCAGATCTACACAGAGCTCTACATCACAGAGGGAGGGACTGCAGAGGTCAATGATGAACATGAGGTCAGACAGATTGAAACAGCATCCAGGAAACCAGACAGACCAGAAACAACCATCAGACAAGAAGACATCTTTAAAGCCTCACCTGGAAGAGACGAACCAATCAGAACAGTGATGACAAAGGGAGTGGCTGGCATTGGGAAAACAGTCTTAACACAGAAGTTCACTCTGGACTGGGCTGAAGACAAAGCCAACCAGGACATACAGTTCACATTTCCATTCACTTTCAGAGAGCTGAATGTGCTGAAAGAGAAAAAGTACAGCTTGGTGGAACTTGTTCATCACTTCTTTCCTGAAACCAAAGAAGCAGGAATCTGCAGCTTTGAAGAGTTCCAGGTTGTGTTCATCTTTGACGGTCTGGATGAGTGTCGACTTCCTCTGGACTTCCACAACAATGAGGTCCTGACTGCTGTTACAGAGTCCACCTCAGTGGATGTGCTGCTGACAAACCTCATCAGGGGGAACCTGCTTCCCTCTGCTCGCCTCTGGATAACCACACGACCTGCAGCAGCCAATCAGATCCCTCCTGAGTGTGTTGACATGGTGACAGAGGTCAGAGGGTTCACTGACCCACAGAAGGAGGAGTACTTCAGGAAGAGGTTCAGAGATGAGGAGCAGGCCAGCAGAATCATCTCCCACATCAAGACATCACGAAGCCTCCACATCATGTGCCACATCCCAGTCTTCTGCTGGATCACTGCTACAGTTCTGGAGGAGGTGTTGAAGACCAGAGAGGGAGGAGAGCTGCCCAAGACCCTGACTGAGATGTACATCCACTTCATGGTGGTTCAGTCCAAACTGAAGAACGTCAAGTATGATGGAGGAGCTGAGACAGATCACACTGGAGTCCAGAGAGCAGGAAGATGATTGAGTCTCTGGGAAAACTGGCTTTTGAGCAGCTGCAGAAAGGCAACCTGATCTTCTATGAATCAGACCTGACAGAGTGTGGCATCGATATCAGAGCAGCCTCAGTGTACTCAGGAGTGTTCACACAGATCTTTAAAGAGGAGAGAGGGCTGTACCAGGACAAGGTGTTCTGCTTCGTCCATCTGAGCGTTCAGGAGTTTCTGGCTGCTCTTCATGTCCATCTGACCTTCATCAACTCTGGTGTCAATCTGCTGGAAGAAGAACAATCAACCTCCCATCTGTCTAAAGTCTTCAGAGACAAACTTAAACTAACACATCTCTACCAGAGTGCTGTGGACAAGGCCTTACAGAGTCCAAATGGACACCTGGACTTGTTCCTCCGCTTCCTCCTGGGTCTCTCACTGCAGACCAATCAGACTCTCCTACGAGGTCTGCTGACACAGACAGGAAGTAGCTCACAGACCAATCAGAAAACAGTTGAGTACATCAAGAAGAAGTTCAGGAAGAATCTGTCTCCAGAGAGAAGCATCAATCTGTTCCACTGTCTGAATGAATTGAATGATCGTTCTCTAGTGGAGCAGATCCAACAGTCCCTGAGTTCAGGAAGTCTCTCCACAGATAAACTCTCTCCTGCTCAGTGGTCAGCTCTGGGCTTCATCTTACTGTCATCTGAAAAAGATCTGGACGTGTTTGACCTGAAGAAATACTCTGCTTCAGAGGAGGCTCTTCTGAGGCTGCTGCCAGTGGTCAAAGCCTCCAACAAAGCTCTGTAGGTGGATAAATGGATGTGCAATTTCTAAAACTGTATATTTGACAAATAAAACATTCAGTTTGTGTTCATTGCTAATCCTTTTTCAGGTTGAGTGGCTGTAACCTCTCAGACAGAAGCTGTGAAGCTCTGTCCTCAGTTCTCAGCTCCCAGTCCTCTAGTCTGAGAGAGCTGGACCTGAGTAACAACAACCTGCAGGATTCAGGAGTGAAGCTGCTGTCTGCTGGACTCGAGAGTCCACACTGTACACTGGAAACTCTCAGGTCAGTAATAAGCTGTTTCGTTTAAATCCTTTTCATCTGGTTTTAGGTTCAGTTAGTGGAAATGGTCTGTAGGATTTTCCTGCTGACATGATTTTCTAAAACACAGAGTTTATGATGTTTTCCTGATTCCAGGCTGTCAGGCTGTCTGATCACAGAGGAAGGCTGTGCTTCTCTGGCCTCAGCTCTGAGCTCCAACCCCTCCCATCTGAGAGAGCTGGACCTGAGCTACAATCATCCAGGAGAGTCAGGGGTGAAGCTGCTGTCTGCCGGACTCGAGAGTCCACACTGTACACTGGAAACTCTCAGGTCAGTAATAAGCTGTTTCGTTTAAATCCTCTTCATCTGGTTTTAGGTTCATGTTAGTTGAAATGGTCTGTAGGAGTTTCCTGCAGACGTGATTTTCTAAAACACAGAGTTTATGATGTTTTCCTGATTCCAGTCTGTCAGGCTGTGTGATCACAGAGGAAGGCTGTGCTTCTCTGGCCTCAGCTCTGAGCTCCAACCCCTCCCATCTGAGAGAGCTGGACCTGAGCTACAATCATCCAGGAGACTCAGGGGTGAAGTTGCTGTCTGCTGGACTAGAGGAGCCACACTGGAGACTGGACACTCTCAGGTTTGGACAGACAGCAAGAGCTCACACACTGCAGGTGTCTCTATTTTCTTTTATTTTATGTCAGTCTACTGGAGTCCATCATCATGAAGGACTTCTTATTCCTCCTCATTCTGTTCAGAGCAGTGAGTAGGCCTGAGATAGGAAACACACGGCTCTCCAGAAGTCTTACCATTAGAAACATCAGAAACTTGGATGTAAAGTCATTCTAATGTGAGACCTGCTTGCAGCATTTCTCTATGGATAGAAGCAGGGGTGGACTGGTAATCTGGCATACCAGGTAAATGCCTTGTGGGCCCACGAAACTTTGGGGCCAGTGTAACATAAATTACTTATTTATTCAACTGTTTTAAAAAATGGGCCAACGGTCGGCCCATAAAGCATGTACCGCAGCACATTGGGTAATTTTCTATACTGACACCCCCCTCCCTTCTCCTCTGCCTTCTGTTTCTTGAGTTGTGGGCCAAATAAAATTTAAAATTCTTCAGATGGATGCCACCAAATGCGCAAAATAACCGATATGTTAGCAGGATGAGAGTGGAGGTGAAGCGGTAAGCATGGAGTAGCTCAGCCTGTAGGAAGGGAGCAGGGAGGGAGGGTCATAGTGTCATTTACACTGGGGACGCTGGGGACATGTCCCCACCACTTTTTGAAATGGCAGATGTTGTCCACATCACTTTTTGAAAGCATTTGTTAAAAATGTTCTTAAAAAACTTGCACCAAGAAATGTTAATTAACAAATGAAAATGCTTTGAGAAAGGTTTATTTGCACTATTCGGAAAACCTACTGATTACTGCATTATTCTATTACATTTTTATATTCTGAATCACAGTTCTTGCTGTCTGTCTTTTTTTCTTCCTTTTTAATAATATCAAATAGCAACATATATCACCAATCTTAACATTGCAATGGATACTTCATATTAGGGATACCGATGTATTTATAGCTAGGGGGTACAATACCAGAACAATACAGCGAAAATAAATAAGGATATCACAGATATCTGTGAAGGTTCTCAGAAGGTTAAAGTCAAGGGCAACTGGACTTGGTTGAAGGGTATCACAGACCTTTAAGCGAGTACAGACATTAAGTAGCCTATCTTCAAAGCCTTTCTGTTGGAGGAGAAACTAAACAAAAATAAAGTTTCTTTCTCAAAGACTATAAATGGGGTTTTTGTTTGTAAATTTGCATTTGTGTTTATGAAATTTAGCCAGAAACAACATAAATTGATTAAGAAATAATGGTCGCAGTGTTACACTAAAAAAGATATTCTGCCAGAACCAGCAGAAACCTGAATATATCTAATCATTAATAAATGTACATACTGTACATCCTGACAAAACATATGTAATGCCGTTTCTGTATGAGTCTCACAGAAGGTACAGTTCTGCATCGCCGCGACATGTTGTTGCATTTTTGGGGAGGTGCAGGTCAGGTTACAGCTTAGATTCAACGTGTAGACACCACAGTCCAAAATTATGATTTTGCTGCATTTAAAAAAGCGCTCTGCTGGAGAACTGTCATCAATATATCAATCAATTTAGTTTATAGAGCACTTTAAACAGGGTTGGAGTTACGTGGGAGCCAGTGGGAGCTCAGCTCCCATAAGGAGGTCTGAGCTCCCATGGAAGCAGTAAAATCAGCATCTGTTGCGGTCACTAATTCATTCTTCAACAACCATTATTTTGAATCACACAATGTATTTTTATTGTTATATTGTTATTATTCACATTAAAAAGATAAACAGACTTAAATGAACATACTTTCCTAATGAACTAATGTTACGCTGCGCACCGCATGACTGACAGGATGGTTCCACTTCTCCACCATCAACCACTATGGTGCGCAGTATAGATTTGACTGAACAGGTCTGAGACCGCG